GGGGTGAGCGTGCGTGGCGCGGGGTGAGTGTGTGCAAGGCGTGGGCGAGTGTGCGCGGCACGGGCGTGCTCGAGGTGCGGGGTGACAGTGCGTGGCATGGGTGGGTGTGCACAGGGTGCGGGAGTGTGCGGGAGGGTGTGCAACGCATGGTGAGTACACTCAGCGTGGGTGAGCGTGCACGGCACAGGTGAGCGCATGGGGCATGGGGTGAGTGTGCGTGGCACACGGGTGGGTGCATGACGTGGGGTGAGCATGCATGGGTTGCGCAGGGTGGGGGTGAGCGTGCACAGCTGGGTGAGTGTGCGTGGGGCGTGGAGAAAGTGTGAGTGGGGAAGGTGAGGGTGCCTGGAGTACAGGGTGGCTGTGAGCAGCCTGCTGCGAGCGTGCACGGGGCGTGAGGTGAGTGCATGCTGTGGGGGTGAGTGTGAACGGTGTGGACTGGGGGTGTGTGGGGCGTAAGGTGAATGTGCAGGGTGTAGGATGAGCGTGCATGGCACGGGTGAGTGTGCGTGGGGTACGGCGAGAGCATGCATGGTGTGCGGGGTGAGCGTGCATGCGGAGGGTGAGTACATGGGGCATGGAGTGAGTGTGCACAGGGAGAAGGGTGTGCATAGCATGGGCTGGGGGGGTGTGAGGAGTGGGGATGAGTGTGCCCATGGTGTGGGGTGTGCACAGGACTCTGGGGGTGCACAGGGGTGCCAGGGTACGCGCATGGGGCTGCGGGTGCCTGGCGCAAGCTGGGGGTTTGCAGGAAAGTGTCCCTGGCCGGGGTGAGGCAGGTGGGCGCCTGTCTGTGTGCTCAGGGGTGTGAGTGGCACGTACTGGGGGTGTGACTCTGTGTGCGTGTCTGTGGGCACAGAGCGTGGCTACACACAGCCCGTGGAGGCACCGGGCCCGTTTTGGCCTCCCCCAGCCCAGCGCCATGGGGCTGATGCCTTTTGGGGAGCTGCGGCTGGGGCTCCAGCTTTGCCCAACGGGGCCGCTGAACTTTCCCTGCCTCCGGCTGGGGCTCCAGCTTCCCCCAACGGGGCCGCTGAACTTTCCCTGCCTCGGTTTCCCTGCCAACCCTCCTGGGCTGGGTGCCCAGGTCATGCCTGTCTCCTTGGCACTGTCACCCCAGTGCTCAGGTACCACTTTCCCTCACAGGGTCCTGCTGGGCGAGGGCTCTCCCCTCTGGGAGCT